TTGACCAGAACTTTAGCGATGTAAACAGGAAGTCATCCAAACCTTCACAGCCCTCCTCAGTTCATGCACGTCGTACAAGGTGGTGGGAGTCATCATCCCCACGATCACCCTTTCGAAATTCCCACTCAGCTCAGACTTCAGGTCAGCAATCAGATCCTAAAAGGCCAGCAGAGAATGAATGAACTGGGAGAAGAAACAGCCCTTGAGAACAGAAAGAACTGACTCATTCACCACATTTTCACGTGCTTCAACTCTCCCTAATGAAAGGTATTTTTGAAGTGAACAAGATCAAGATAAGCTTTGCTGCATAGCCAGAAAAATAACCAAAACCTGTGCTAACCTCACTGTAGTGGCGGCTGGAGTGCCGTTCACTTCTCACCTAAGTGCTATAATTTCAACATGTTAAAGACACAGTGACTTTTCTCTGAGACCACCTACCCACCCTGCCAATAGCAGATTTATAGGTGATCAGAACTTGCTGCCGTTGGGAAACATTCAGTTTGGTCAAGGTCTCGATGATGGCATCTTCATCCGTGCCTATGAGAAACAAACACAAGCCAGTCAGACTGCTTGCAGGAAACCAGAAGTGTGCTCTGGCATTGTGTGGATGTGCCATTAGCCATTTTCTGTCCCTTCCACAACCTGGTTCTTGACAGGGTACTAAATCAACGCACAAAAGTACTTCTACCCATCAGGATGGGAGCACCAGATTGCAGGAGAGAAGGAAAGAGCCAAGATTTGGATTCCAGGTTGGGTTGAGATTTCAGCATAATCTGAAACTGATAATCTGAAACTGAACCCTCATGCTGCATCAGCAAAGATGGTGCAGCACTTCAGAATACATCGTGTCCCAGTTTTCTTGGGTTAATATTCTAATATCTATAAACAGCCTGGAGACCACACTGACATAGATTACATGAATGGAAGTGGGTGTGGAAGTCATTCTCACTACAGTAATCAGTCCTGTCTCTTCAGCTCTTCACCTTCCTTCTCCTTACACTCCTTCCTCTGCTTCCACCTCTGTTCTGAAGTGACCCCTGATTTCTGATCAGGCAGCTCCTTGCATTTTACAACACAGAAGATGGCAGGATCCACACCAGCAAGAGGCTGCATTTCAGCAGGTGGGAAGCATGATCCCCATTTTCACTTTGCACAGATCTTGTTGGAGATGCAGTGGGGCAAATGCTTATGGCCAGACTTGCCTCTCAGCAAATTACCAGAGTGAACAGTCTCCCAATAGTCTGAAAAATGAGAGGCTAAGAGGGAAGAACAACTTACCAAACCCCTTCATTGCTTTCCTTAGAGCGTGTGCTTCTTGCTCAGCATTAAAACTTGAGACCCCCTTGATTGTTGCCTGGATTCACAAGAGAAGAGTTATCAAATGCAGACTCAGAGCTATGCAAGTATATGGTACAGTTGAATAACAAAAAAGCATAGCAAGAGCAAAACAAAATAAAAACTACCCATCAAACTTGAGTGATTTTAGATGAAGCTTCCATTCTACCCTGAAGAGAAACAGTCTGTTCTAAAGAGACTTCTCTGTTACACAAGTAAGCCACAGTAGCATGACTAAAAGGAAAAAATACCCCCTCATTGCCACCTGTGTAACATCTGTTTTTCAATTAAATAAAGGCTGACAACCTGACATCTCTGTTCAGGCCAGCTGTCACTTCTTCCCAGCTCCACATTAATCATAGAAGAAGCTGATCACAAAACCCTACTCCTGACCTCACTAATGGCAGACAAGAATCATTATTCATGATTAAAAAAAAAATCATCATTAAAAAAAAAATTATATGACATCAAATACAGCATTTTGCTCACGGCAGTATTTCACAGACAAGTTTCTCCTGTCCTGAGCCACTCCTGCTGGACTACACCATCTCTTATGTATCAGTCTGCATTCTGAAGAACGTAACAGTAGTTAATAATAGTAATAGTAATAATACTAATAGTAGTTAATGCTAGTGCTGGGTAAGCTTTCAATAACATATACAGAGATAACTGCTGTGAAGATGAATTTGCAGGTTGAACCTGCAGAGAATAAAATATCCAGGGAGCTTGTCGGGAGAAAACTGTCTCTCATGAACCAATATCTGATTGGATTTTACATTAACTCCCAAAGGGGAACAACCCAGAACTGTGAGTCCTTCTGCCCAGTATGAGGAAATGGAGAGGAGAGAGAAACTTGTCCCCCACAGACAATGACAGTCTGTATCGTTATCTGAGCTACGCTCCCATTTATCTGATCAGAGCAAGTGGCACAACATGGTACAGGAAACAACCACACTCACCATCCCTGCAGTATTTGGTCAATCTGTTATTACCCAAGTCTTGAGGCAGTTAGACAACTGTAATAAAAACACAGGGACTATTAGCTTTCTAGCAAATAATTAACAGAATATACCTACCCTTGTCAGTTAATGGGGCTGGCTAAGTAACCGATACTGTAGAGCAGGATTATATCCGCCTCATTTCTGAGGCTTAAGGATAATAATGCTGCACTGACAGCCCTACTGAACACTGACACTGACTGCAGCTCAGAATTCCCAGTCCTGCTTTGAACCGTACTAACAAAGCCTGGTTTATAATGGGAGAGGTCCAGGATTTGCTCCACAAAGGCTCTGTTTGAAAAAGGGATGTGATGCACAAGCAGATGATTATCACTGGTATTTAAGAAACTTCTGTTTTTAGCAGTATAGCTTAGCTGAGGCTGCAAGGAGAAGCAAATATCATCACCACAGGAGCCCGAGAAGATGAACTCAGTGGCCATCCTCTCCACATCTCATGGCTAACTTTGTGCTGGTCAGAGCCTGGAGGTCAGGCAGGGAGGACACCTGCACAGCTCCAGCTGCAATTCTAGCTTTCCCTGGGAGGCAGGGACAACAGCAGGGCACAGACAAGCACACAGAGGCCATCCTCACTCTGGGATAGTAGGCTTTTAACTTCCTTCTTCCTTAAGAGGTGCAGTATTCAGCATCTGCTTGGTTTGATGCAATATGTAATTGCTTGTAGGATTGCAGATTGACTGTTAACCTCTCAAAAAGAGAGCTTATTTGTCATCTCCCAGGTGTATATTTTTTTCTGCCCATATATTTGTTTTCATGCAAAGGGTCTTCCTCTACAAACACCTCTCTCTATTTCTCACCTCCATCCCCCAGCCAAGTCTTTTTCATAGTCAGTCCACAGTAGAAAAGAGAGGAAAAGTACTAAGTTTTAGATTAATCTTTATTTCCCTGCAACCGAAGTTAATACAAGTGTTCTTGCATTATAGAGCACTTGATGACTGACAGATGTTCCCCCTAGACTTACTCATGCTGTTCAGAGGCTGCTGTGAGCCCAGCCAGTTGTGCAACAGCAGCAGGAGTTTTACTCATGCTTCACATGACTCCTGTGAACTCCAAACACCTCAGTGTGCTGTTGGGGCAAGCTGCTCTCAGCATCACATTGACCACAGGTCGTTCTGTGGCACTCAGGCACTCCCAAGTACTCCCCAGTTAATATCTGCAATACGTGCAGTTCAGTAGCACATGCTAAAGTCAGTGTGGAGTTAATTTTTTCAGAGGATATAGATTTCAGTGGGACAAATCTGGCCTAGACCCTCAGCGAAAAGATCTAGCCTAGCTTTTTACACAAATAATCACCTTTATTATTTGATTTAGCTAGACAATGGGTAATGGCTTAGAATTTCAGAGTTTCTCATGTGGGTTTCACTGTTCAGTTTGTTTGTACACAGAAGCAGGATATTGGAGGAGCTGGCTTGCAAGGGGATTAGAGGGCAAAACAAAACAAGAGGGAGGCAGGCAGGAAAAAATTTGAATGCAAATGAGGCAGCAGAATAACATGAGGAAAGAATATGCCTATGGGACTAAGGGCAAATGCCACTGAACATGAAATTAGAGCCATTAAACACAGTCTAGTTAGAGTATGACATTTGTAAGATTCCAATTTCTTCATCCAGCTTAAGAGTCACTGCTAACATGGAGAGTAGTGCACAAGAGGAAGCAGCAATGCTTAGCCCACCCCACAATCTGCAAATTGTGGGCAAATGTGCTGTTTTGCTCCCAGTATATTGCCATGCATGTGGTCCCACTGAGGAAGCTGGCAGTGGTCATAACAGCGGAATTAGAAGCACATGGCACTTTGACTAGGTTCTCTAGCAATAGTCCCTGCTGCTTAGCACTATTTCCCCCAGTCACAGGGGAAAGGGTCTCCATGGACAGCTCAGGCTGGGACTTTACGCTGTTAAAGACTCTAACCACCCTGTTTGATGATAGAGACAAACCTTGCTCGGAGTGCGAGAGCTCACTCAGATTTGACAGAGCTCTGCTTTTTAACAGAATTCCCTGCCTGCAGCTCCAACAGGAAAGAAAATAGCTTCAGGACAAAAACAACTATTTGAGGAATTAAAATATGCATGCAGAAAGCCAGCTAGCCTGTGCTGCAGTGCCCTGGATAAACCTGCTTTGATTATATTTGGTTCAAACAGTTGCAAAGGCCTGGGCTCACTAATGCAATAAGCTCCATGCCCTGGCTGAGAGCAGGCTCTAAACACTCTGTCAAGAGAGCAGAGTGCAGGTATAGTGGGCATCTCCTCCCGCTAGCCATTTTTTCTATGATTTATCTCCTCCTATTTGGCTTTCTCGGGTAAATCGGGTAGTTATGTACTCAGTGGTGTCCTCAAACTGAGCTGATCCTGGATCGGCTGTCAGGAAGCAACATAAACTATATCCTGTGTTCCAGCCATTTCAATATGGGCTTGCTTTGACCATAGCCTCCCTGACCATACTCGGAGCACACATAGCTCTCAACAAGCTGCATTTCAACAGAAGCTTTGCCTCAAGTTCCCTGAACATACAAACACTGTGATGGTCCCAGAATCTGAAAGGGAAAAGACTAATTTGGGACCTACCTCCCGGGACAGCAGGCACTAGACTTGTTCAACTAGTTCCTTCCTCAGCGCACGTTTGCTAGAACACAAACCCACACCCTGCGCTAAGTCAGCTTTTCCACAGCTCCCGCACTGCCAGCTGGATGCAGGCGGCTCCCTCCTTTGCGAGCTGCGTGTCGGGAAGGCAGCAGGGCCTGCTGGAGGCCTCTGCCTCACGCGGGCTGGGTGACACCGATCCCAGCCCGGAGTTTGCAGCTCTCCCTTTTGCATAGGAGCCCCAGGGCAGCTGAAGTGCCCTAGCACCTCCCACACTTGGGTCTTGCTGCTGCCCCAAAAGGAATTAAACCTAATCCCGAGTTAGAGCTGGAGCCCTGTACTGCTCACTTCTCCCTGTGCACACACCAGAGCCACTGTAAAGCACTGCCATGCCCTCCCACTGCCAGCGAGCAGGGGGGATGCCAGCCTTGCCACGGGGCACAGCACAAGCAGAAAGGGAAAGCAAACACTGCATCCTCCTGCCTGGAAAGAGTCAGCCATATTCTTCCTTCCCACTGCCCATTCCCTGTCTTCCCTCAGCCCAGACCCACCCCGCATGCCGGGCCTTGGCATCGCCACCCAAGAGGGTGTCCACGCAGCCGGAGGCTGCCGCGCTCCCGCACAGCCGCACTGGGCGCGGCCGCCTGTGCAGTGACGAGCCGAGCTAGGACTTGGCGCTGCCCCCAGCACCGCTAGTGACACAACCCCCTCCCCACGCCAAGGAGGACCCTGCGGTTAACTGGCACTCACCTGCTGTCCCAGGCAGGGGCCACGGCAGTGATGGGGACAGCTCTGCTCTGCTCTTAAGCAGAGAGTCCCCGCCCTGGAGTGGGGTGGGACTCTCTGGGAGCAAAGCTGCTTTCGCACAGCTCGCAGGAAGTCAGTCCATTGCCAATCCCCTCTCTGCCCTTCCGCAAACGTTTGGATGTAGTCCAGAGCACCGAGGAATTCCCTAGGCAGCCGCCCCAACAGGCACGTTTAGGGCACAGGCACGTGGGGCTCCACCAAGGCCCTGCACAGTAAAGGTGGCCTGGAAAGCTGGGATGGCTTCTGCTCTCCAGTATTGTCTGCAAAATCCGCAGGCACAGAGAGTCCCTGGGGCTCCTGACTGTGCAGCACTGGGCATGCACAGTGCCGTGTCTCACTGTATACAGCCATGGAGAAAGCCCTTACCCATGGGAAGGCACCGGGACAGCTGTGTGCAGCACAAAGAGCAGCTCAACAGCTCCAAGCAGAATCCACTGCCCCCTCGTGTGCTCTGGGAGCGTTTCTTACCTGTATCACAGCTCTCACTCGCTCCTGCAGCACCTCTCCAGGGCTTCAGCATGGACTCCTCCTCTTCTAAGGACTTAATCACTGCTGGAAGTGATTTTTAAGAACGGTTATTTTTGCCCCTAAATAAAGGGCACTACTTTTAAGTGAGCACACTTCAAACACAGGGCTTCAGTTTTGCCC